ATCAAAAATGTTATGTGCACCCCTGCTTATATAGCGCTTTTTCAAGTCAGGAGACTTGACCAAAGCCCTTTACACTACATTCAGTCATTCACCCATTCACACACACACTCACTACATTTTAGCCAAAGCTGCCTTGGGGCTCATTGACAGAAGTGAGGCTGCTGTACACTTGCACCACTGGGCCCTCTGACAACCATCTGTAGACAATACGGGTGAAGTGTCTTGCCCAAGGACAGAAAGACACTGAAAGCCAGAGACAGGGCTTGATTTCAGGGCAAACTCCAGCATCCCACGCCACTGTTGCCCCTCTTAATAAGCTTGAGATGTTCCAGCCCATCACAATGTGAAACAGTAAAGTAATTTTTACAAAAAGAAAGCTCTTACAAAGTGTTGACCAGGGAAGCATTAGTCACTCCAAAACTGAAGCAGTCTCACATTTACAGCTTAACACATGGATGAACCAATAACCCTATTTTATGATCCATCAGAGCAAAGATTATGCAATTTGGGCAAAAAAACAAAAAGAACAGGCCAATTCCAGGATTATTTCAAACTTTGGAGCTTAGTGGTGGCATTATCCTACTTAAAATGTGAGTGTTTAGTTGACTATGGTTATGCAAGCAGTCCTCAAAGAGCATTGTATATAACAACAGCAATGATCTACGTTTCAGTTGCTTTAATTGGAACTCTACATCACATCACAATTGTAAATGCAACTTTGTATTTTTGTTTGACACTGTGTGAAGTTTAACATCTAGTTTTTGAAAAACTTCAGATTTGTTACTTTTAGAATAATTTTACTTTGGAAAAAATTCTCATCCCATACTGAGTTGATGAATCTATCATAGACATAGAATATACAGTTAGAGGAATAATTTAAAAAGTTACAACCAGTATGCCAATACACAACACTGGACAAGGACCCATATTTTTAATCTGTTTACTTTTCTTAGAGAGGAGTGTCAACAAATAAAGAAACTAGAAAAACACTTTGAGAGCGCAGACCTCTGCCAAGCAGCAAATTTTGCCCCATATTGTGAGTTATACTTGCTAGAACTCGCAAATGATCCGGATCATTACATTTATATTGATTGTTCTTTGGCATGAGTACACACAGACAGACAGACAGACAGACAGACAGACAGACTCTCCCAAAAACATACCCTCCTTGGTGCTGGTAAAACACCAAGGAGGGTATGTACTAACCCTAACCCTAACCTTAAAGAATTAATGCAAATATTTAAACATATTTAAAAGCTAGTAAATAAAAGAATTCATAAATGAAGCAATTAAGATAACAGTTTATCATAAGAGTGAGAGGGGTATTTAATAAACAAAGAAGGAAGAGACTAGTTTTCTGTACATTTGGCAAAGAGGTAAACCAACTCTATACCCAGTCTTCTTTCACACTTCACACAGTATTGTGTTTCTTTAGCAGGTGGCCCTGTGTTGGGTTTGGCATTTTACTGCTTGTGTGTTCTGTGGTGCTATAGAAAGTCTGTCCTTCCCCTGCTCCCTGTATTACCAGTAAATACTTCAATTCATTCTACCTCGCTTAAGAGCTAACAAAGCTAATCTGGTTAGAATGATTTGATTAGCAAGAACATCAACCACTACACCTCCAGGGTATAAGCGTAAGAGATTAAGCCAGTTTCTGGCCTTACTCACCCAGTCAATAATCACTTAGTCAATAAATAAAATAAATAATCAAACACCTTGTTTTTGTTGTACAGGTTTGCACAAATGCCTTTTGAAACAATCTTTATCCCCACTGAAGACAGTTGAAAGTCTGAGGAAAGTCACATTGATGCGCTATCCACAAAATCAAGCACTTTTAAAATAGTACCCTTCTAAAATAGCACCATCCCTAAAGAGACCTTAGTTCCATTATTGTTTTCTCAGAACTCTTAATTTTAATATCACTAACATCTGTTTCTGCTAGCATCCCAGGAGTGTAAATCACTGTTACAATCCTGGGTGTTTCAACAACATCCTGTCCTAACAAAAAAAAAAATGTTCAAATCTCTATCTTTACATCCGGATTGGTCCAGTGGGGTCAGATGTGGGCTGTTGATCATTCTTGTGGCAGCAAAGATCGGGAATTTGCAGGCAATAAGACATCAGACAGACTTGCTGCACTGACAGAATACATGACCGACCAAATCAATTATTCTTTTCATCTCCACTATCTCAATGTATAATAGAGACTGATAATCCTCCTGAAGGCGGTAATGGGTCTGTTGCTTTGTGAAGTTAGATAAACTCTGCCACATCCTGACTTTTATTAAATTTAAGAGGTATATAACTGAAGAAACCTATGCCTGTATGTAGTGTATTTACAAAACTCTATCCAGACCTTTGAACTAGTTCCCTTTTAACCCTGTGCAGCCTCCAGAATGTTGTTACCCATACAAGTCTGCCAAAGCCCGGTTACTCTCAAATAGAAAGGTCATACCTAAGAGAGGAGGAGCCACCAAACAGGCTTTCTAGAGCCCCGTATGTATTTGTTTTTTCTTTGTTTCTTTTTATGCCAAGGCTTTTTCCATCTTTGTTCACTGAAACTCTGTGGGCTTAGTAAACAAAAGCCTAGCCAACTGGTCCTAACTGTCCCTCTGGATGCTTAATGCAAAGAGGCAACTTCTCAACACCTGTCAGAATCCAGAAAGAGCAAATAGTGAAAGACAAATACCTTTAGTGCCGGGCCATGCATGAAGTTGCGTGTGGTCTCTAAATATAGACATTCCTTTATAATGCAGTGGCATTAGACGTTCTCAAAGTGGGCAGGCTTTGGATTCCTTCCTTTAGTGCAAACGATCCTGCATAAAAATATTATTTCCATTAATAATTCACATCTCTAGAATTTCTAACCCATTCAGATTTCGGATCAGTGCATCACATGATGCAGTATTCACTTTGGGTTATGATAATAAGCTGTCACTTTACAGAAATAAGAAGCAGCGCCCAAAAACACAAGCAGGTTTCGGATCATTGTATGCTGCTGTCACAGTTTTCTTACTTCTAATGTGTACTGCCATTTTTAAAAACTAATTTTCAATGTGAGAAAAAAAAAGAATGTTTGGGTCTTTGAAGTATGTGAATTATACCCGCCTTCGTCTGCCCAGATCTATTCTCGTGCTTGTTCTCCATCCTCTGGTGCTGCGGCATTTGGGACACTTTGGGTGCCGCCCGCTGCATCTTGTTTTCAGCCCATCGGCTGGATCCTACCTTGTTCTCTGGGCTTGGACTAAACTATTAAACTAGGTTAGTGACTCACGTACATAATCTTCCTCCGCCAGACGTACGTGCTCACTAATCTGTTTCTTTTTCTGCCTCACGCGCTCTAGCAACTGCTACTGCAGATTTGCAGTTTTTATAATAAATGGCTTTTTGAATTCTCCGACTGTCTGTCTGCCTTGAATACTGGGTCCTCCATTCTGCACCATGACAACAATGTCATATACCGAATACTAACCTGTCTGATTTTATGTATATTTGACCTTAAGAGTCAATTACTTCAAAAAGAATATCATCTGAAAGAGGGTGTACCACTGTATGTTCTTTTTTTGCAGTTTAATATAATCTAGATTAAATCACAAATTTGTAATAATTGGCTGTGTGAGTATGTTGATGCGTGTTTTTGTGCCCATACAAAGTGGGTGTTTTTTGTTTTATGTGTGGCCTATTTTATGGAAATGAAAATTATGTGGGGACTGACTGCTCCTTGTTGGGCCTGTTGCTTGGACCACACGCCAGGGGTCATATCTAGGACTAAGGTGTGAATTGAGTTTATGTTGGAGTTTGGGTTAGGTTTGGACCGTAATAGTTAGTTTTGGTAAGGAGTAAGCTGTAGAAATGAATGGAAGTCAATGGAAAGATACCGCAAAGATAGTAAGACAAGTTTGCGTGTGTGTTCTTGTGTGTATCTGTGTTAGCGAGTTAAAAGTAAATTGTCGCTAAATTTAACCATGCATTGTTTTCTTTGTTATTACACTTTTAGATCTATTTTGTAACCTATGGAGCTACTGTATGGATGCAAAATACCAAAATGTCATACTGTGCCTCAAATGGTGGCAATTATGTCTGAACTGCACACTCTCCCTTTTTGAATAAAGTTTATACTTATGCTTAACTCTCTGGAAAACCAGTAGCCACATTACATCATGTTAATTCTTAACATTGGTGTCGAGATTACAGTAAACAGTCCTTTTTTGATTTTTTTTTTTTTTTTACATCAGAGGAAAAACCATATCTCCTTAATAATTCTTTGAGGTGCAAAAATGTCTTAATAATATGTATCTGGATAATTTGAATATACAACAACACTGACAGTAAACATCAATACAGAAATGATTTATCCTAAATTAAATGTATTGAGAAAAAAAAATTGTAATGACATCTTTTTCTTTTAAGTCAAACAGCTAAACATTGTACTGGAAAAACAGGAAATGTTTTGTGGAACCAAAGCAAAGACTGGACAACTTAGCTCCTTACCCCCAACCCCAACTTACCCCCTTTTTGAGACCCCACCTCCCACTCTGCAACAACATGGCCTGATTCAAACTAAGAGCCAGCTTTTAGCAGCTATTAATAACATATGATGACAGGCGCCATCATAATCAAAGCCTGGTTACTGCTTTCAGAATGAGTTTAGGACGAGGGACAGAGTGTTGTTATGATGAGACCACCTCTTAGCCAAAGGGGGCAAGAACATAAGGAATATTCGATGCAAGGCTAAATTTTATTTTATAAAAGCAGTTCAAACAAATAAACAAAGATAAAAAGCATACATTAGAATAAATTCAAAACAGAGGAGAAGAGAGGGAAACATTACTGAAGCTGTTTGCATGTGAGTGCAACTATGGACTGTTGGGTAAACTTAAATTGGTTAGGACAAAACAAATGGCTCCAACAAACCCCATGCATCGTTGTAGTGTGTTAGTGAGAAAGTAGAGGGAGAGGGAGGGAGAGCAAAGGAGTTTTGGAGGGTTGGGGAGGGGGTTTGTCTGTGTGTCAGCCAGTACTCCTGCTTGTCTCGCTCCACGAGATGAGTTAAATCACAGGCAGACAGTGGCACTCTCTGGTTGTCTCCCTGTGTCTCTCTGTTCGTTCAGCTCTGAAAGCATCACATAGCCTCCTGGTTCCACAGCTGCAGGTAAGAGCCAACACCATTGCTCTATTACCAAAGCTTTTGATCTCAGAAATTGATCAAATAATTGAAGCTTTTTTCAGGCAGTATATATCTTTCCTGTGGAGGAAAGCTGGTAATAATATTTATCCAATGACAACTGCACATGTCATAGTTTATAATCCCGATTTTGACTGCTAAGACCTGTTGTTGTTTGTTTAGTTTATTCATGTGAAAGCGCTTTCAAAGGAATACTGTAGCTTTTCAGTTGGTATGAGTGGAATCTGCACTACATTGTACAGCCTATACAATCTAGGGGTTTCATAGGCCCATGTAATTACATCCACTTCCTGATAAAACAGAAGTTGCATACCTGCATGAATGCCTCACTGATTAAAAGTGTCATTTAAAGGTAAGAGGGCCTTGTTTTCTTGTTTTAAGAAAGATCATACAGGTCGTTTCAAGCTCACTTTATGAGCTTTGATTGTTCCAGAAAGAGTTTATTCTTAATTAAAATGTAAGATAATGGCCTCATTTTTTCTTAGATGCTTCTTTCACCTTTGATTTTTCCATATTAAGGACTGAGATGGTTTGAAAGCTCTACAGCAAAGTTATCCTTCTAATAAACTAAAAATAAGTAGGTGAGAAAAGGACTTCTTATCTGTCATGTTGTTATGAACAGACATGCCAGTACAGTACAGGAAATAAATGGAAATCCACAGGCAATAGATTGCGCAGTTTAATTGTGCAGATCACTTGTGAGTTCAGTTTTGTAAACAAAAGGCCATGGACATGACTTCTGAGGCATAAAGTTTCCATTAGCTGCTCTGCTGCAAACCATAAGTCATGTCTCAAGTTAGTTCATGGACACCAGGGGTGTTGCAAAACAAAGCCTTGCCAGGGCACAGGAAGTAGATATAAAAAAAAAGACAATGCACAACTTTTTAGTCCTTATGTGTATTTCAAGTTGTGTGATATATCAAATCACATTCATTAAGGAAAAATCTGTTTGAGCACTATCACAACCACAAAGAACTACATGAGTGCATTATATGGTTGGTTATGATACAGTGCTTCATCTGCTAAGAATTGAGAAAAAAAAAGGTTTCCAATTATACATGCATAGGAGGACATTTGCTGTCCTTTATCCTTATAACAGATATAGGTTTAGTAAACTGAAATGAAAATATCAAAAGAAAGCAAAAACAGCATAATGAAAAAACTAAGGGAATATACTATAAACAGTGCAATAATCATCAATGTTACATTATGCAGACTCAAATAGTCAAGCTCATAAATATTCATGCCCCCTAAAAGAAATAGATTTAATTCCATCATCCTTTAACCAAGAAGTTTGTTCGGCAAAGGAAACAAATCCGGCATTTCTCAAAAGCTCTTAAATCTGTCTGTCAGCTGTAACAAAAATAATTGTTTGTCTCTGTTTATTATTTTTAATTTTAAAATAGCCTGTCAAAAAAATCTTTATTGGCAGTAGGGAAATTAAACTTTTTTTAAAGAACGTATGGATGGTTGGTCAAAAAGGTAGAAACTGTATTGAACTCCACCCACCTTCCATTACTTCTAACTAGATTTCCTATTCCTCTTTAAAAGCATTCCTGCCATGCATATATACATATATGTGTAGGTTTATATGGATGCTTTTTACAATAATACACATTTAATATTAATCTCTGGCTTTGGTATCAAGGTGCTTTTATCACATCTACTAACCAGATTGCAACGGTGAAATAGAGTCCTTTCTTCCAGCAAGTATTCAGCTTTTTGGAGTCAGATATGCTTGTTTTATTTTCTAAAGCAGATATTTAAGCAATCATCACTATCAACTTAATTTGTAAAGCACTTTAAAAAAGCTAACTACTGCAAACAAAGCGCTGAACATAGCCAAACATAACACATAGAATAAAAAAATAAAATGCAGCATAAAGATGTAAAATAATAAATGCAATAATAAAAATGTGTTGAAATTAAATAAGCAAGGTCAAAACAACTTAGTCTTGCCAGTGTTAAAACCCAGTCAATAAAAGTAGGTTTTTAGCCAAGTTTAAAAATTCGGCCGTGAAGGAGCCTCCCTAATGTGCAGCAGTAGGATATTCTTTAAAAGAGGAGCAGCAAAAAGCGAAGCCGTTCGCTTAAAGATGTAATTGGACTGTTTCCAATCATATTGTAGTAGTAGTAATGATCCCGGAAAAATGCTTAGCATGGTTAAGACTATATATAACTTTCTATAAATAAAGAAGCTAAATAGTGCTAAATTATATATATGCAAAAATATAAATATATATGTAAAATATGCTACGCTTTGGCTGAAGGGACATCTTCATAGCAACTGTAATTTGTGACATTGAAGTAAAATGGTAGGATAATAGATGTTTCAATGTTATCTATAAGGAGAAAAAGATAAAAGACACCGCCTTGCAGATTACACCATTAGGTATGTGTTAGCTGTCGACATGGAGGTACGTTTGCAGTCCTCTGACTTGTTAAGATGTGCAGGATGCATTGAGTTGAATGCACCCATTGTTACACAACTTCCTGTTGACCAAACAGGGCTGAAATGAGAGGACAATCAGGAGACTGCCTGGTAGGGATGGTGAACCTCGCTTCCTAATGGGCTTTGTATAAATCATTAACTCCATCAGCCAGAGATTTTACTGGCTTTTCTCTATGGCTGACCAGATGCTGGTGCTCATGTCAGAGTGGATCAGTGCTACAGTTTAGGGCAGCCTCGAATAGCTTGGTTGATGGGAAACTAGTTCCTGTTTAGCCCCGCTTTCTCCAGCAGGATTCCCATGTGTTCATGCAGGAAGAGGCACATTTGAATGCCCCCTAAAATAGGATTAGAAGTGGAATGCTGCAACTACAAAAGTCCGTCAGTACGTAAACTGTTGGTCAGAAATGTACCCAAACTTCCTGAAAATCTAGATTTCTATCATTCCTTGTTAGCAGCTTTGTGTTTGCAGACATGCAAACACACACACAGACCTTTTTCTTGTCTTAGAGGATGCAGCTTGCTCATGGAGCTTGTGAAGTAGATGTTTACCTTCCTGAGTGTGGTCACCCGGGGTTTATGGCTGCCCATCAGTAATGTGCCATCTCACTCAGAGCTGAAGCTCACTGGACAGAGCTGCGCTTATTAACCTGCTTCCGATCAGCCTGCTGTCTGAGCCACCTCAGCGTTTTATGCAGGACTCTCATATGTGGAAGTGCAAAAATGACTTTAAGCCTTGTTTAAATAGCACTACTCTGTCACCATTCCTATCATGGAAAAGTACCAGTGGTTACCTACAGTAGTTCAATAATGGTATATAATCTGTACAATGTGTTTTCAATTAATTTTCACTTGTGGTCATCAGAAATGTTCAGAAATATATCAGGTAATTCCTTGATTAAAGCTCCTTAAAACTTAAAAAAAACTTAACGGATTGTATCAATTTCTTATTGTCACAGTGGGAAATTTTTTCTAGCAGGCAGGTTAAAACCATATAACACTACAACAATGGCAATAAAAAAAATAAAAAAAGAGAACTTCCTGAAAAACATTTGTGCTAGTAGCAATTGAAAAGGATCAGATTAAAGTGATAAAAAGTCACACCCAGTCAAATTATAACTTTTTCTGAATAATACCCTGGGCAATAAGAATATTTACATCTGTTGGTCCTTCATGGGCTGCCTAGATCTCTTACTAGTTGGCTGGAGTTCAAGTTCTCCTGAATTAGAACTTTAAATTATATTGAAAGGTATTTCTGCACAATTTTGATAAATATTTTAAGGGGAGTTGAGAATGTCTTTTTGACATTTGTGTCCCTCCTTCAAAACCTTTTAGTAAGATCAGGTAATTTAGTACCAATAATATGTCCCCCCAATGTATTTGTTTAATCCTGGTCTTTTATCCTATTGATAGGTCACTAAACCGACTGATAAGAACAAATCATCAACATGAACTTTATTTGTATAGCGCTGAAAATGCTGAACATAGTTAAAAAATTATAAAACACAATATAACAATAAAAATCAGCATAAATATGTAAAATAAGACATTAATAAAAATTTGTTTAAGCGAGATAAAAAAAAAAAAAAAAACGTTGCAACAACTAAGTCGTACCAGTGTTAAAAACTAGCAAATAAAAGAATGTTTTGAGCCCTGATTTACAATTTAGCATTAATGCACTAATGTGCAGTGACAAATGTCAGGATAAATTCTATTATAGAATTTATTTACACAAATTTTTACACACACCAAATAGATATAATTTGCATGGGAAGTGTCAATCTTTTTTTTTTGTTGTTTGTTAGTTTCTTCATTTTAATGAACTCAACAGAATTTGCACTTAATTTAATCTCAATTGAACCGCTTGTTAAAACCACAAACTTTGACTTTATTTGGATTTTGTGTGGCAGACGTTAGTACATAGCTGCGAAATGGGAAAAACATATTTTCTTTTTCGTCTGTTTTTTTTTTTTTTTTTTTTAAGCCCTGAGGGTCTCAGGAGCAAATTCAGCCTGAAATTACATATGTGGATTAAAGCAAGTACAGCTCTCAAACTATAAATGGGAAATACAATTGTTTATATTTGTGTGACAGAAAGGCGTTGAGGATTTTAAGGTGGAACCATTATTTTAAATGAACACTATGTCTGTTTTATAGGGGATTAAACAAAGAAAAAATTTTAAGTATTTAGCCTCGCCAAATTTCTTTCCAAAATAAACACTACAAAACACCTTGAAACCCCATCTGAAACTCTGGATAAACCCTCAGAGCTTATAGAACCACAACTTGACTATAACTCAAGCAAATTTGGACTGAATAAGTTGAAGCATGTTTGTTCCAGAAAGATTTTAGTGGACAGTGTGCTAGGCAAAAATGTGATGTGGTCACAATGCCAAATGTGCATAAATGCATTTTTCCACTTATAAAAGGGAATCTGTCCAGACCTTCTGCAGACCTTCTGCATAAGGCAAAGCCTTTGCTCCTAAGATTAAGCTATTGTTTCATTAAAATTTACCAATAATATCACCAAAATTAATAGAAAATAAGTATAACAAGGCAAGCTTCTGTAACACATGCTGGTCACATCACCTGAAATGGTTGCACAATTATCTCCGACCTCTGGTTGGAAAGGTCGGAGCCTCTGGTTTCTGATGATGCCAGCCATTAGGGGGTGTGGCTCAAAATGAATAGCTGCTGAGTCACACATGTCAGGTGTAATTTTAAATTTTTTTTTATTAGTTTACACAGCAATAAAACAAAAAATTATTTGTTAAAAAATAATTTTGAAACATGTTTTAGAAATTTTAAAGCCCCATTAGAAAAGGCATGTGGAGGAAACACCATGTGACTGTGTTTTGGCCATTTCTATAAATAGGTAAACATGAGCACGAGTTAGTTGGGCCCTGTAACGGGCCCGCCGGGCTTAAGGGGTTAAATCAACATTTGAAAAGTGAGCATGTAGCCTAGAGATTCAAAAGTTTGCAAAACCACTTTTTTTTCCCCACACCTATAGCTGTACATATTTTAGGGCTAATTGCAGAAAATCTGGCTGTAGTGCTGTACACAACACCTGGCACACCTCGGACACTATCCCAGACATAGTACAGGATGCTAGTTTGTAGCTCTGTGTGACGGTCTGTTTGTTTGCACACGAAGCCAAAACACGCCACGCCCAGTCTGTCAGGGAAACTCACGGTTGAACTATGTGTTTTCCGGAATTGGATGAGGGGTTGTAGATGGCGAACAAGCTTGTCAAACCGACCCACGGACAACCAAAATCCCAGATAGTTTGTGATTGTCCCTCTTGTGTGGTATAACATAGCGCAGACCACACTTCAAAATTGGTCATAAATCAAAAATATCTGTGTCATACCTGCGACAGGCTAACTGCGACACCCTGCTGCGGGAGTATACACAGCCCTTTACTCTGACCTGTCTGCTGTATCTTTTTAGTTTTACTCATGCTCCCCTAGAAACCTCCTCAGAACAGCTGTATTCATACTGAGATTAAATTACATACGGAGACTCCATACACACGTTAGATGATTTATGAATGTTGTCCTCAGTTTCATTTAAGGGTAGCAGAGCAAGGGCAGAACAGAAGACAATGCTTAAATTTAACTTGAAAAAATATGATTAAGACTATGACATATTACTTACCTTCTTGATCATTTAATATGAAACTTTGTGTCATTATATAAGCATAAATTGTAATAAAGTGTGACAATACGGGGAATTATTCTTTCAAGGGTTATGAATACCTTCACAATGCACCGTAACATTAATCCCAAAATAATATTTTTGTCTGTGGTGTAGTTCTCTTTTAAAAAGTAGCTTGAATTCACATACGTGAATAGAGAAAAGATGATAGGAGACATGAGCAATGAGATCTCTGTACTCTCTCAGCCCTGAAACCATCACGTTGAGGTCTGTACAGGAAACTCTGTGAGATATTTCATTATTGTGTTGTCCTTGGCACCAGTGCACCTTCCAAACTAAAACACGCAATACCCACATCTGCAACCGATACGGCTGTTGCCTTAGAGCTCAGATACATCCCCTCGAAACTGGTGGAAAATTAAGAGATCCTTGAATCTCAGATAAAAGAGTTAAAATCCAGAGCCCAGACAGCTAAGCACAGAGAGGCCAGCAGGATTACAAATACTCAAAGAGTTGTGATGGTAAAAAAAATTCTAATTAAACAGAAACACAAGATGAGTGTTTTGAGGGTTGTTTTTATCATGAATTTGACAGTTTAGTACTTCTTTCCTACTCCTTACCAAGAAACATTCGAGTGTGATCATATTGCTAGAGCTCCATCTTGTGGCAAGAAACACACACTAACTGGTACCGGATTCAATTTCTCCCTTTCATCTTTATCTCACAAAAGAGTGAGCTTAATTTTACTAAATCAACCCACTTAATTTTTATAGCATCTTCAAGCTATTTACCTGTTTTTAAGCTCTAAACTCAGCACATGCCTCTTTATGTGCCTGCCTGGTTTAATGAATCCCCAAACCTCCTTTTTGCTCATAATTAGTAACAGAAGCAATCTTTATGGCCTAAATGTTTCAAACAGACTCCTTATGCTAATATTATTGCATCAGCTCAACTAATGACATTCTATTAAACATAAAGACTATCCACAAATGGGGAGAATTTGTATTTTTACAACCATCTCACATTCTGCTCATACAAATTAAGCACAAAAAAAGAACTAGCCCTGGGGCAAATTTTCTGTGGCACACAGGTTTGATTTTCTCACAGAGTGAAGTTTCCACCGAGCTGAATCCCTGCTGTCCTGTTTGTTTAGGTGTGCACTGATTAGAAGTTCCCACGCTGGGTGCGATCTATCTACGCACGCCAAGGGTTTCAAACATGACAAGTCTTTTTTCAGTGACTAGAGCCTCTGAGCTCTTTAACTCTCTCCTCGCTCCCCCCTCTTGCACCTCTGCCTTTGACGGCGTTGTCATCCAAGCTTGGCACATTGCCACAAAAGCCTTCAATTAACACAGGTCATAACGCTGAGCGAAAACTGTCATCTGGGCGCTGTCAGTCCACAAGTCTGATAAACACCACAAAATCTACCACCGCTTTCACCGCTCATTAGCTGAGGGAGGTATTAGAGGAGGGACCGCGACACAGACTGTCTGAGTAATGATCTTTCAAAGGACATTTTTGGAATATTGAATACAATATGACATCTGTTTCTCATGGCTTTTTCATTTACAGAAATAAAAATAAAGCTTCAGGATGGCTTTAATGTGCAGGTCTTTAATGAGCTGGTGTAGGGCGAGCACTTTCATGGGTGTTCATGTGGATTAGCGTTTATGGACCATGCCAGCAGTAATGATGGCTTCTATCCCAGACTGTCTGTGACATTTCTGTTGCATTTTCTTTTATAGGACGTGCTGAGGCCCTCGCCCAAGGCCTGTATCAATCCTCACAGACACACCCCCTGCTGACACAGTCCCCTGCTTTAAGGCATTACAAAAAAGAGGGGAAATGCAGAATCAAACAGAAGGGATAAACCTGACATGTGGCCTGTCTGGGAGTCACGAATTCATCTTCACCCTGGTGCCCATCGTCTATGTCTTCAACTTCATCATCGGGATTATTGGTAACAGCATGGTGGTGGCAGTCATTTACTGCTACATGAAACTCAAAGCCGTGGCCAACATTTTCGTACTGAATCTTGCTGTGTCTGATCTCACCTTCCTCATCACCCTGCCCATGTGGGCAACCTTCGCTGCCACGGGCTACCACTGGCCTTTTGGAGGGTTTATGTGCAAGACAGCTGCCGGACTGGTTATGTTTAACCTCTACACCAGTATCTTTTTCCTCACAGCTCTCAGCATCGACCGATATCTGGCCATTGTGCATCCTGTGCGGTCACGGCGTTTCCGCACTGTGATGTATGCACGGATCACTTGTGTGATCATCTGGTTGTTTGCCTTTGTGCTCAGTGTTCCAGTAGCCTTAACAAGGGATGTCCACTACATTAGTAACTCTAAAACTACTGTTTGTGGTATTCTGCACCCAACTGAAGAAAACTCCAAAAGATTGGATGACCTCCTTCTGGGCATAAGTATCATGAAAAGTCTACTGGGGTTCCTGATACCATTTATCATTATCATCAGCTGCTACTGCCTGATTGGACGGGCCCTGCTCAGGGTTAACCACATTCAGAAAAGCTCCTGCTCCCGAGATGATGAGGTGCTGCACATGCTTGCGGCAGCTGTCCTGGCTTTCTTTCTGTGTTGGGCACCCCATCAGGTGTTCCACTTTATGCAGATGCTCACGCAGCTCAGAGAGACACACGACTGCACCATGCTTAACATCATTGACACTGCCATGCCATTCACAATTTGCATTGCCTACTTCAACAGTTGTGTCAACCCCATTGTGTACAGTTTTGTGGGGCGCAACTTTCGCAAGAACCTACTGAGACTGCTTCACTGCTCTCCGGGTGGCATTGCAAGGCCTCACCCAAGCATTAGCTCCAGGATGAGTGCTCTGTCTTTTCGGGCCTCTGAAGCCCTGAGCCTTACAGTCAAAAGCAACGTTTCCTGTGACGTCAAATGACAAAAAAGGCCAAAGACAGAGAAGGTGTACAGTCGCTCTGCCCTTGTATTTGGACTACAGTAAAGGGGTTGAAAGTGGAGATGTCCAAAGCTTTAAAAAATCTGTTATAAAATATGAGCAGTGAAATATTTAGAAGGAAGAGACCAAAAGACAATCATTACCTTATATTGAACAGTTTTGCTTTACATGTTATCTTGTTCACTTTTTGTAAACCCTACTTTTTAAATACATCTAAGCGAGTTCATTTATGGTAGCCCAACACAAAAGAGTGCATGTCTGTGAAGTGTAGACATATTTTGAATATTGGATAATTGTGTTGTGAATTATGATTTCAGCCCACTGAGTCAATATTAAGTGGAACTAAATTTGCTGAAACAGAGCATGATGCTGCCAAAGCAGTGTTAGATTGTGGAGAAAGGTGTGTCCATTGGGTTAGTTTCCATAAATATTCATTTGCATTCTAACCAAGAAATATTGGTGTATGTTATTGCAAAATATTTACCTTTTTCAGAGGGTCTACAAATTGACTTTTTAGTGTTTTTAGGCCAACAGTGTCTTACTATATTCTCACACTTGAAATATACATCTCTCCAGCTGCTATAAATCATCCACCAGTGTTTTATTTTTCCTGCCTCTTGGCTTCAAATAATGTAATCGACAGGATTCTCAAGAGATTAAAAGCTGGGGATAGTATTTTATAACCTTACCTATCCCTCCTCAAAACTCCACATCTTATTTTCTGACCTCTCTGCTTTGTTCTTTAGTCTTTATGTTTCTTTACTAATGGTCTTTCGGCAGAATTCAAATTGATGTTAAATAATGCACAAAAAGGACTGCATTTAATCATTAAGGGTCTTCTGATATTTGCATTGGATTTAGATTAGGGGAACAGAGTAAAAAGGGCTGAACACATATGACCATCACATTATTTTTATGCCACTTTACAGGTATTGAGTACTTTGCTTCTTGGTCAATCATATAAAATTAAAAGAAAATAAATTGAAGATTGTCTCTTTACTGTGAAATTGAAAATGGAAGGAAAAATAAGGGTATATTTCAATTCATTTTTGCAAGGTACTGTAACCATCCACACACATTACAATTAATGATATAAGCCTTTACCAGTATGTCATTACTACAAATTTGCAAAAGTCAAGAAACTACTGTTATGGCTTTAAATGTTAGAAATGTTTGTAGCTAATTAAACTTCCCTTATCCCATTATTTATAACAGATGTGCAAGTTCTGCAGGATTTTGTCAGAAAAAAAGTCCAGTAACTTATTGCTAAGACTGTGTGCTCAGCTGGTTTTCCAAATGCTTGCAACAGTGATCAAGTGTTCTGGCCCGGCCCTGTTTGTTCTGCTACAAAATATGCTATATGTGAAATATACATTCAAATCTGTAATATATTAAACTGAGATAATGTGATATTGTTTTGAGTTATGTAAAATTCATATTTGTATGCTTAAGTAGCATAGATGCAAATTTCTTCATGTTTGATGAATATTATCTTTGTGGTATTTATATGAGTTTATGTTTTTTTTTTTTTTTACTCTGTAACTGTAAAGTTTGTGAATAAGTTATAAATAAAAAAAAAAGATTGTATCCTGAAGCACATTTTTTTATATTTTCTAAGAGACAAATTCTGATTAGATGAATTATCTATAATATTACTTTTAAAGGAAATTAGTCATTATTAAAAACTAGACACATAAAGTTTGCTTAACCTTTACTTTGCACTAAATCAGAAAGAAATGAGAAGTTTTAAAGTTAATAAAAAGAGACAATTTTATTTATTTATACTTGTTTCTCTTGTTATATTCATAATAAAAATTACAATACGATTAAAATTCAGGTTAATTTTGATAAGTTGTGATATAATTAGATTTGTATATAATCAAATTACATTCATCATTTCATATAAAATTTTTACATATTATGTTTTCTTATTTTTTATTGTGTCTCATAAGATGTTTTAATT